GGCCCGCGTACAAGAGTAAAGTACCTTAAAGAATTAATTGCACAGCCACTACTTACTATTAAGTCCATTACTTACTATTAAGATTTATTGATAATTTTTCACACCACTGTACATTGACAAGATCTCCATATAGTTGCGAATTTTGTTATTGCGATCTTTAATATGCATTCGATTTAATTGTATTGAAAATGACCTTCTAAGGTTGAAACGTTTACTTTATTTATATTTATATTATATTTGTTTCATATAATAAACTTAATTAACACACAAACATCCAGTATAGTCCTGATAAGCATTATACTTTATTGTTTTATATATTTATGAAATTTCGCTTAATTTGATTTAATTTCCAAAATGTCTTCTCCGAAAAAAATTTTACTCGATATAACGTAGGATATACGTTACGTGTACTATACATATATTTTGAAATGTATACGGGGAAAATTTTATATTAAGTATTAGTACAACTTTAATTGGATTTTACTATTTTTTGTATCATCAGTGGACTATCATGACCTTGTAGACTAAATTACAACATAGTAAGATTTAAAACTAACTTCAGCTCAATAATTTTTAACTATTTAACGTAGTAAGAACTCATAAGTTAAAGTTATAACTTTTATTATGTATTATTTTAAAATTGTTATAAGTTATAATGCTAAATTTCAATTTTTATCAATTTGAAAAACGTATTTTTTATTCCTTTTTCATTATTTTTTTTTTTTTTTTGAGATCCTTATTCACGAAAAAACCACGTTAGAGCATCTTGGGGTCATTTAAAATAATGTTATTAGAATATAAAGATGATTATAACAGAATATGAATAAATTATACACGAAAACATAACCCAGATAGCCAAGTCTACAGAGATCAATTTTGAGCAGAGCATACTATCAATAATAGAAAAGCAACAAATTTCATATAGAGATTGTAATATCTAATAATGTCGCAAACTGTTATCAAAAATATAACAAAACCTACTGTTGATGTATCATACAACTTGATGATAGAAACCGAGCAAGATTTACATTTTCTGTTCGGTTTCTATTGTCAATTTCAACTGTTATATTAGACCTAAATGCCTACATGAATAAAAGGCATGAAAATTAATAAGATCAATAAAACAATAATATCTCATTAGACTCTTTAAATTTAATATTATAATAAATAAATAAATTAACAAAGCGATAGGAATCATCGCAAGAAATAGTTGCGCAAAGTATCACGTGTTAAAAATTACATACATTAAACACTACATTAAATTTACATTTAAAAAACCAGAACTCATATTTGAATCATCTTCAGCAGATAAATGATAAGAGAAACGCGTTATTCTTATAACGTAAGTAGATCTGGAATAATTTATTCGTATTGCATCAATGTTGAAATGAAAAATTTATGTTTCAGTGTACTCTTGAAACAGTATAACTTTTGTTTAAAAAATTTTTTTCCATCTTTTATACTTCCGACGGTATTCGGCTCGAAGTAGAAATACCGTTTTTTTTCAAAGGGATGTTTCACCCCTTAAATATGAGTTAGCGCACGTATAAAAAAATACATGTCTTTTAGATTTTCGTGTTTAACAACATATTTCATCGAATCGGAAAATCAAATCGGTTCCGGACAGTTGTGAAACTTCGCTTGTTAGAAGAAATGAAGATCTGAACCGATCTTCTTCCTACAAATTTTATATTTTATAATTTAACAAGTAGGTTCACAATTAACTGTCTCGTACGCATCTTTAGCTATCTGGGACTACGTTTAGCGCTACCCAGGAACAACGGCGTGGACGTAGTAGTTTTCTGTTCCCTTTGGGGTGCTTGATTAACGTGAGTCCCCTTGCCTCTCACGATTTAGTTACTTAAAGATTGGCATAGATTCTAATTGGATAGATGTTCAGAAGTAAATTTGATTTATCGACACTATTTTATATTAGTTTCTTGCGCAATATTAATTAGATAATATTTTATTCCAGGGTTGGATAAGTTAACTTTTTTTTTTAACTTAAGTTAAGTTGAAGTTAACAGTCTTTATTTAACTTAATTGAAATACAAGTTAATCCATAATAAAATTAATTGAATTAAAAGTTAATAAAAAAAAAGTAATTAAAAAGTTAAAAGTTAAATTTGGTCCGAACAACCAAAAAAAAAAAGAAGAACGAAAAAGTTTGTCCATTTTACATAATATTTTGTATTTTTTCTTTCTCACAGCATATTTGTTAAAGAATCTGGTTATTTTTGTTCACAAATAACGATTATACAATGTAAAATTACTAAATTATATACTCATTATCCTCTCGCATTGTGTCTGAGGATTATCTTTTTAACTTAGCACTACCCAACCCTGTTTTATTCACATTTTATTTTATTTTATTAATTAAATATTTTATCTATATTTTATTTTATTTTTATTTTTTTATTTTGTTCTTATTTTAATTTTATTCTTATATTGTAATCACGCTCAAACCTGCGTCAACAGAGTTAATTGCGCACCATTCTTATTTAAATCTTTATTCTTTTGTGTCAGATCTCTGTGATCGCTGCTCACTGTGATCTCGATGTTTGATCTCGATGTCATCGTCACTGTGGTGGTGGAGGTCTTGCTAAGAAGTCCTCTGTCCGTCTCTTCATCGTCAAAATCCATTCTAGATGATCCAGCTGCTATCATTCGATCAGGTTGTAATCTGTCACCATTAATTTTCCTTCTTGGAAACACGCTATTTTCGTTTAGTGTTGCATTAATATCCTTTCCAGCAGCACAATTACATGCCTTCAGGAAACTCTTTTTAAAATTGTCACTTAAAAAAGCATATAGAATCGGATTCATAGCACTATTGCTATAACTCAGGAAACCAGCTAGCAGAAAACTTGCAATACTAATATTGGTTTGACATTGTTTTGGCGGAGTATATATCAAGGCCACTTGAGTGACCCAATAAGGTAACCAACAGAAGACATATACAACGATAACAGTTAAGACCAGCCTGGAGACCTTTCGATGTGATCGTTTCTTCTCTTTTGATTTATTCTTTGGACCTACTGTTCGCAGTTTTTTGATCACCAGTAAATAGAAAACCAATATGAATATCAAGGGAATAATGAAGCTGAAGATAAGCATGTAAAGCGTAAAAGTAGTATGACCACCGTGATCGTTAGGCCAATAAATGTTGCAACTGACAACACCATCTGTATATTCCATGGTGTTTGCATAAAGAAATATCGGTATCATGAAGAGAGCGCTAGTAACCCAGGCAGAAAGCGAAATTATTTTTGAGATGAAAGGCGTGCGCATCTTCGGGGATGAAATCGGGTGGCACACAGCGATGTAGCGATCGGCACTCATGATGAGTAGAAAGATGCTGCTGGTAAACTGATTGATACTTGTCGTGATCATATACACTTTGCACATAATATTACCGAAGATCCAGCCACGTAAACTGATCGTTGTTACTAAAAATGGTATACCAATTAGGAAGCACTCGTCCGCGATCGCCAAGTTCACAATGTACATATTTGTGACTGTCTGCATATTCGCGAAGCGTAGAACAACATAAATGACCAAAGTATTCCCAAGAAGTCCAACAATACAAACGATGGAGTAGAGTATCTGATTTATTATAGCGATAAACGATAAATTGAGTTCGCAGTTTAGGAATTCCGTATCATCGTATGTTAAGTTGTCGTAAGTTAAATTGTATATGCTATCCATTATATATATAGAATCTGAAATATATATACAAGAACATACATTTAGTAAAAGTATGCCATATTGAGATAAGTTGCTTAAAAGGTATTTAAAATTTGTTTTCTATTATAACCGAAAAAAAATTATTTATCTTAAAAATAAATATTATAAAAGATTTTATATATATATATGACAAAAGAATCACCATTATGTATTTGATGTTCTCGCAGTTTAATATGACTCGTTTACCATTGAAAGAATGAACAGGAACGTATTAAGATACTATTTCATCATTAAGCCCGAAAACTCTCAAAAAACTTTTTGCTTATGCAGGATAATGCACAGCACACAGCCATTACTCGCCAGTTTTTGGTGCAAAAACTCAATTAGACTGTTTTCACATCCTACAATCTATAAATCCTACAATGAATCATGTTCTATGAATCAATAAAAATTATTTATTTATTTATTTATTTACAAAACAACTAATCTCTGCATCGCAATAAAACTTCCCTTAAGGGATGAAATGGATTCAAGCAAATTGTACGGATGAGACGATGAAAAAATAAATACGGTGTAGAATTAAGCGAAAAGAAATTTTTAGAGAAATATTATGCAGCGCGACTTGTCCGCGCAATCTAGCGTAATTTTCTTAATGAGTTATTCAGAACGGATTAGATTGTAATGCGATTTGAAAGAAGGGAATGTGACAACATCCATTTTGCTACTATGACAGCTTCTGGAAGTAGAATCCTATTCCCGTTTGCATCACGCCACACCGAATATCGGAAATCGAATCGTGCCCAGAAGCAGCTGTTCGCTTATGCCAGGCTAGCAATATATATTTGAAGATCAAATAAAATAATGCCAACGAACACTTACCGAACTACAGGAACTTCTAAAATATCCCATTCTACGATATGTAGAATTCGAACAGGTCAATTTCCATGTCCACTACGTTGCTCCCCGATTTTTTGTCCATGTGTCTTAGATCGACCTACGTGACAGAAAAAGCGGCTGGCATTAAACTCGTGTAAACATCAATATTATTAAAATTATTTATTAATTAAATTTGTGATATTACTATCTACTCTAGTTCTATTAGGATTGCATTAATCAAGATTGAAAATTAAATTTCCTATTTGTTATAAAACGTATTATTGACATTTAAATTTCGAAAGAATTAAATGTTAATTTTATTTTATTTGACATAGAGCAACTTCAAGTTCCTCGGCTACTTCTGAAGCAAATATATTGTTATCTGAAACATCATGTTCTCAAACGAGGTAAGACATTATAATTTGTTTATAACCAATATTTTATCATATAAAAAGATTTTGGTAAAATTTTTAACTACGTTGCATCACTTCGTTCGCTTACATAAAAAATGGATTGCATTTGGTGTTAATAAACAGCCTATTTTTGTAAATGGATATATTAAAAAGCTGCAAGCACTTTTTTTATTACTCCAGCAGAGTAATGCTTACAATACACATGAATATAATAATTTTTCTACTATTAAAGTAATTTTTCAAATAATGCATTTAATATAATAATTTATATATTTGCGTATAATAAATCAACCTGACTAAGACTCCTTATAAATCAAAAAACAATGAAAGAACAAGAGCAGTAGGAGTCAAGCGCGGGAGACGTTGCGCAAATAACACGACTATCGTAGCGTAAAACTTCTTTATTTTACTAAAGCGCTTACATGTTTCGGCTCATTTTTGAGCCTTCTTCAGAGACAACTAATAAACTCACATACATAGAATATAACAATTATTAACTAGTCATGGTGATCTTCCTCACCTCGAGAGTATAAATGCCAAAATTAAATCCAGATAAGAATGCAGTAAAAAAAGAAAAAAAAAGGAAAAGAAATTTTGAAATTCTCGAAATAAAGAAAATGTAAAACTAATGTATTAAAAAATTTTGAAATTATAATTAGTTATTCCGATGGTTAGGAAGCTCACCCTGATCACAAGATACCGCATCGCAAACATTACTCTTAGTAATTCAAAAACCGGTTTCTGATAAGTTGGCCAGTCAGTGTCAGACACAGTTAGTCTCTTATTGATTTAATTGGTCTTTATTGAGACAGTAATTAAAACTAGCGTTAAAAAATTAATCAAAATCAAGAAAAGAAATTTTGAAAATGAACTTTATGTAATGTAACTTTATGTAAATTTATGAAATTAAAGTAAAACATTTACTCGATGGAGAATGTTTAATATCGGATAGTCTTATGATTTTTATTTGACACTATTAAGTGGTACAAAAATACGGCGTAAGGAAGAGAATAAACGATTGACGAATTCATTTGCACAAGACGTCATTTATGCTGTTTCTAATAGTCGTATCAAAACTTCCAAACATGTCACACTTGGTTTAGCTTTGAAAAGCTTAACCAGCACCAAAAATATTGTGAACATCATAAATAGATATGACTATTGCTGTAGTTATACTATTGTAGAAGAATTAGAAACTGAAACGACTTTTGCTGCTACTGCTCGAACTCAGATATGTCCAGAAGATATTGTACAATCTTCAAATTGTGTATAGGATTAGCGTTCAACAATTTCGATAGATTCGTTGATACACTTACTGGTAAAGACACTTTGCACGACATTGTTGGTATTATATTTCAGAATGTCGGAGCTGATGCTGCTCAACGTGAAAGTATAATATTATTGAAGAACAAGACAATGTTGAAAAATGTCCAATAAAAGAAAATACTCGGTAAAAAAATTTGTCATATATTATATGTACACTTACTGACAAAAATTAAGAAACAAAGTAATTGTTTTACAATTACTCTATATTATTTATTTTCTAAGGTACATAGATTGGAACTAAAAATCGTATGATGAGATAACAGTTCATACATCAATAAACAATAAGTTTTTTCCTGAATATATTTATATGAAGATCACAATTAAATTGAATTAAAGAAACAACACAAAAGTTGTGTGACAAAAGTTAAGAAACATAAGAACGTCTCGTTTCTAAGTAGAGAAAAGAATATAAACAAACATGTTCGACGATGCTCAGTCTTTTCTCTGACATTGCCGTGTATAGTTCGTATCACAATTTACGTTAAAATATGGAAAAAAGGCAACGTTTAACTGAAACTAAAAAACAAAGAATAGTTGAAATGTTTAACAATGGCCAAAAAAAATTGATATTGCAAAAGTGTTTAATGTGAATCGTTGTATTATCACGAAAATTATAAAAAGTTTTCAAGATTACGAAACTGTTAAAATGGCACCACGAACTGAGAGACCGCAAAAAACAACTCAAAAGCAAAATCGTCGAATTACAAGGCTCTCTAAATCCAATCCATTTTACTGCTTCCGAAATTAAAAATCATTTGAATCTGTACAGCATTAGCAGCAAGACAGTTAGCCTTAGTTTAGATGAGAATAATCTTTTTTCACGCAAAGCGTGCAAGAAACCACTTATTTCTAAAAAAAATAGGAGAATTTTTTTTTTGTTTGGAGCTTGCCAAAGAACACATTAATTGGACTGCTACTGAGTGGTCAAACATTTTATGGAGTGATGAGAGTAAATTTAATTTATTTGGAAATGACTCCAAAAATAACGTGCGACGCCCTACCGAACAACGATTTAATGTTAAATATCTAAAACCGACTATAAAATTTGGTGGCGGTAATGTAATGGTGTGGGGTTGTTTCTCGTATAGCGATCCTGATCCATTAATACAAACAAAGGAAACAATGGAAAAAAAGATTATCATTCATAAATACAAGAAATTCGCATGCAACGTGAACTTTTTGGACGGCTTCTTGCCGTGTCAATTGAACAGAAAATCGATCTCGAAAAAGTTTTATCGTGTCTATTGACGCCTGTAACTTTATTTATATGCCATTCAAACGGTACACATTGTAAAACGGATAAATCAATTTTATTGAAATGTTTGGAAAAAGAAATCGATATATCCTCTTAATATAGATGTTGCTTTTTGATAGATGGATTTTTTGCTATATCTTATAAAAGATGTATCGTTAATATTTGGCGATATTTCTAAAAAAATATTACGAGCTGTCTTTAAGTATAAAGGACACAAAATAGCGATTATTTTCGATCGCTATCGTATGCCTTCGATCAAAGATAGCGAACATGCTCTTCTCTCTTTCTCTCTCTCTCTCGGTACGTCTGAAATACGTACCAGAAATTATCATATCTCTGGAGAAGAACAGATTCGACTAACAGATTTCTCAAAAGAACTGCGAAACATTAATTCCATACCCTCATCATGTTCGATTCTCCTCTCTCCAATCGACTCCTGAACATCAAAGGGGGCTTGCACGTGACACTAGATCACCAGAGCAACTGACTGCAACTGACAAACTGACAGTTTCTGGAGTAGTAAGTTGAGGGTAGGGAAATGCGCACGCACGTCCCCCTTCTCTCGAGGAACGTCCGATTGGTCCGATCAGCGAGCAAGCACATGTATCAGATATACATAGATAAACCGAGCACATATACCGTATACCAACAAAGGACTTTCCAGTGCATGCGAAAGAAGGAACGCAATTAAATTTTTCGTTCTTTTTCTAATATGTTCTCCTCACGTTTTTCTGTTAGAGACAGAATGAAAAATCCATTGTGTTCGCTGCTTCTCAAACGTGCCGATCATGTCTCGTGCTGCATGCTCAGTTATCTATAAAATCTATATAATTACTACGTTTACACGGCACCCTTAATCGTTTAATAACATCCGTAGTTATGAAACTGGCCAATCACAGTCATTCCATTCTTCAAAGAAATAGCTGTGATTAGTTTTATAATTACGGATATTATTAAACTCGATTAAGTGTTGTTATATTGACAGGGCAATAAGAGTCAAACAAGTATCAAATTTAGAATGAATAATTAGA